GAGAGAGAGAGAGAGAAGATAGCTGCGCAAACTTTCACGGACGCGTGACATCATCTCATGCTTTGTCATCCGCTGACAAGATGACAATAGGACAATCTTCCAAGTAACAACGGGTGTCGCTCTTTGCATGCATCAGTGATTTTGCAGGATATCCTCTTTTGAATCGATTACCTGGTCTCAAGGTCTTGCTCGCGCCGATGAACGCATTTATGAAGGGATAATTCGTGCTTTTTCCCCACGAAAATAAAAGAGAGGGCACGGGTGAAATAATTGAAAAACATGTCGTGATTCGGCAGGCCTTATATGGTAGTCTGTGCACAATACACAGATGTGCTTTCATGATGAATTGACTTTTTTATGTTAGATGCACTCTATCTATCTTTCTGGCCAGCTATCTATCTATCTACATATATATATATATATATATATATNTAGAGAGAGAGAGAGAGAGATAGAGAGAGAGAGAGAGAGATAACTGCGCAAAACATTCACGGACGCGTGACATCATCTCATGCTTTGTCATCCGCTGTCAAGATGACAATAGGACAATCTTCAAAGTAACAGCGGGTGTCGCTCTTTGCATGCATCGGTGATTTTGCAGGATATCCTCTTTTGAATCGATTGGTGTGCCCGTTCAGAGCTTGCAATCTTTGTTTGTTGTGAGGTGTTGTTTGACAGTGGTAGTCTGTTTCCGATGTAAAGATAGCGTTTTAATTGCAAGAATCCTAACTTAATGTCACGCTGGAATAATTAGGCTAATAATATAATATATATATAATATATAATATAATAATATAATATATATATATAAACATTGTTTTGTCGTATTGCCGCAGATTTATTGGGTTATACGCTCATGGGATGTACGTATAGATAGGTGGATTTATAATGGCGTGCGCTACCATTTATTTTCGGACCTACTTATACAAGAACTTATATCTTAGTGATGATTATGCAGATAGGAAGTTTTATAATACGAATGGTGCGCGAGACATTTGCTCCTGGATTTATACCCGATGTCTGCATAATTATATTGACGTGTATTAACTGTGTTAATTAATGCTGCTATATAATAAGAAATTAAACGCAGGGAACCCTGCTTTTTGCGGCACCTTGATTGGCGTTTTTTTTTAAATTTCGAAAACAATAAAACGCTGATAACTCATAAAACGCTAACAGTACAACGTAGTTACGTCGCAATGACAGTATATATACGCACCAGATAGGATTTGATTAAATGATGGTTCAATGAATATCTTCTGGTTCTCCGACCGATACAGGAGAGTTAGTTCTCTATTGCCTACCACTACATTTCAATCTATGGGCAATTTAATTTGCATCTCGCAGTTTAGAAATTTAACCGCTTCAACACCGAATGATGTCTCGGAGTGTTCCACTATCTCTTCAGCCGCGGTAACGACAACGTCCCTCATGACGCAGTCTCAGATCTATAACATTTAAAAAAAATTGCACGTAACTACGATGTCCTTTCGCTTAGTAATGTGATTAATGAATTAACGTATTATACGGATATACCTGATATACAGATTTGGGTAGGATGAGCTCTATAATTACTATTAATATATATAAAACCAGCATGTATAATATATATAATAAAAATAAATGTTTGCATCGTTATATCTATACACACCGTATATAGTTTTAATGGAGAAGAGTTGCGAAATAGTTCAAGAACAATTTCTAGCCACTTTCACAACTAACTTACTTACGACATGACAACGTTAACCTTCGTTCCAAAAGAATTAGAAATATACAAATAGCGTATAGGAATATATTAACCTATTATTTCTCATGTCTAAATTTATAACTGATGCGCAGATTTTGACACGATGAGCTAATAATTATGATATAATAGTAAAATCGAAAACTCGCTTAATTATAAGTGTGATGAGAATGCCACTGCCTCAGTAACTGCGAGCCAGTACAGATGCAATAATACTACCTTAAGTTACAAAAACACAAATAAACAAAATTAAAATTTGAGCTGGCGTAGCAAAATATATACGTACATGGCCGAGTTCTCTGTGCGCAACGGAATGTACAACGGTTGCTGTAGGTTTTGCCGTCAGTGCCGCAGACAGGCGTGTAGTTTCTTGGACACACACACGACCCTCCTCCACTACCGCTGCATTTGCCCTTGTGCACCTGGTAGAGACCTGAAAGTATATTCGACTATAGTCAGTTATACGTCTCGCCATTTTAAATTACAATTCGCGTGTCTCCCGTGCAGTGCGCGCGCGCACGTGCGTGTGTGCGCGCGCGCGCGTGTGTGTGTGC